TAAGTCGGAAATTATGAAAGCCTCCACACTGTGGACAATATATTCAGTTCTGAAACGTACTCTTTGCATCAAACATAACATAAATCATTCGAAATTTTATAAATTAACAGCGTTTTTAAAGCGGCAGAATGACACAAGCCCAAGAAGTCTGAAATACTTACCAGTGGAAACATTTTTATTTACGGCTCCAGATCAGAGAGAATCTTGTGATTATGATTCAGCGTGAGGTTGCGAATAACGTCAAGTTTAAACGGTTTTTTTAATTAACAAGAACTACTAACAAATAGTAATAACATGATAGTTGTCAACAACATAAACCAAACCATCGAATAGTGTCAACTGTCAAATTACTACAAATCCAAATTTTGATCAACAAATTCCCCTATTTAAGATTACAACTTAAATTGCGCTTTTTTAAAATTTCGAGCCACTTTTTGTTATAATAACTTTAGATACATGATTATCAATTAGTAGTAATTACTTTGTGATAATCAATTTATTTTTTCAAAGCTTAAATTCCTCGTTTGTATTTTGCGGCACTAGATCCTTTTTCATTGCCATTTCGACACGCCACGTGTCAACGTAAAATGTCAATTACAACTATGGCAGCGCAAAAACGTATTTAAGCATTTTTCCAGATTAAGGCCCGAATTCTGTAACTTAACCTTTTAATAAGGGATCCGTTTGTTAAAGGCATTAGCGTAAAGGAAATGTGAAAGTGAATCCTTTAATATCTTATCCTCTATTGCATCCGTTGACAATATCGGTATGGTTGATGTGACGGGCTTGGGAGATTTTTAAACTTAACTTTTGTTAATTTATAAGATATGAAATTCTTGTCGTGGTCTTTGTGCCTGACATATAGTAAAAATATTAGGAGTATTTATTTGCTCGTAGGATGGTTCGTGATGATGATAACATTAAAAACTTAAAAAATTAAACATTTTATGAAATCATGCACATTTTTGGAGATATCAGCACTGGCCCCTTATGTCAGTGTAGTAAAAGTGTTTGTATTTCCACCAAATTCGGCTTAATTAACTTTAATATGACGATTTTTTAGTGCTTTTTGCTAATATTAACAAATTTAAACCATGAAACTATAAAACTGGACAAAGACATCATTGTTCTGACTCATATATACCTTTATTGTAATTCCTCTAGGATAAATAATCACAGATTCTCCATTTCTTCCCTTTTATTTAGAATCGGTCACAAAACTAATGAACTGACAGATAATTTGCATAAAGTGACACATATGACCATACGTTGCACAAGGGAAACTATAAAGGACTTCACCTTTATGCAACGGATCTATAAAGGTCCTTTACGTTTTAGAGAATAGGAATATCTTTATGTAAAGGACAATCCTTTTACCAAAGTGCCTTTATACTTTACAGAATTCGGCCCTAAATCCCTAAAGGGGTGAAATATGGTGGCTAGATTTGTGTGGGAATATTTCTATTGTAAATTTAAATTTCTACGTGAAATTTGGCATTAATTGTCTCCAACACAAATAATGAAATACGTATTTAAGCATTTTCCGAAATTCAACCCCTAAGGGGGTGAAACGTGGTGGCTAAGGTTGTATGGGAAAAATATTTGTAAATTTAAATTTCTACGTAAAACGTGGTATGAATGGTCTTCAATACAAATAATGAAGCACATATTTAATTATTTTCCGAGATTCAACCTCTAAGGGGGTGAAGTTTGTATGGGAAAAATATTTCTACTCTAAATTTAAATTTTTACGGGGAACTTGGTATTAATACTCTTCAACGCAAATAATGAAACACGTATTTCAGATTGTTTCGAGATTTCACCCCTAAGAAGATGAAAGGGGGTGACAAAGTTTTTATGAGCAAACATTTTTTATGTCGATTTTTACTGGAAATTGTATTAATGTCCTTCAACACATTTTTTACTTGAAGGTTGATAATAATGCTCTTCAACACAACGAATCGTCTACGCGAGCGAAGCCGCGGGCTTAAAAGCTAGTCATTTTTTTTATAAATTGCTTCAAGGTGACTAAAATTTAACATGATATTTTTTTTGTGTAAAGAACTCAGCAAGTGGTAACTTTCGACTCAATTGGAGTATTTTTAAGCTCCAGTATGAAAGATTGCTTTGGGGTACTTGTTAAGAGCAGCTTAAAAAGGCTGTTTTTTTTTGCATTATCACTTTTCGTATAGGTAAAGATTAACACTAAGTTTCGATTTGGTAACAATATTTTTAAGGCCCAGTCTACAAGGTTGCTTTGGGGGTAGTTTTTGAGGGTTTCTTCAAATAGGCTGAAATTTCGTATCGATAATCCCCGTATTGAGAAACTGGCGAATATAACATTTTGACTTGATTGGAGTATTTTTAAACCCCAGTCTGCAAGGTTGTTTTCGCGGTAGTTTTCAACGATTCCTCCGAACGGGTTGAAATTTTGTATCAACAATCTTTCGTATTGAGAAATTAGGAAATATCGAGTTCTGACTTGATTGGAGCATTTTTAGCCCCCAGTCTGCAAGGTTGTTTTGGGGGTGATTTTTGAGGGTTTCTTCGAATAGGCTGAAATTTTGTGTCGATAATAATCCTCGTAGTGACAAACTAGCGAATGTCAAATTTTGACTTGATTAGAGTATTTTTAATCCCCAGTCTGCAAGCTAGTTGTGGGGGGGTAGTTTTTAACGATTTCTCCGAACGGGTTGAAATTTTGTATCAACAATTTTCGTATTGAGAAATTAAGAAATATCGAGTTTCGACTTGATTGGAGCATTTTTAACCTCCAGTCTGCAAGGTTGTTTTGGGGGTGATTTTTTAAGGTTTCTCTGAACGGCTTGAAATTTTGTATCAACAATCTTCGTATTTAGAAATAAGCGACTGTCGAGTTTTGACTTGATTGCAGCATTTTTAACCCCCAGTCTGCAAGATAAACTGTGGTCTGCAAATTAGACAGGCCCAATAGCTTGGACCCCAATCACAGTATAGATATCAATGAGTAGGGACAACTCGCTGTTTTTACTGACCCGTTTTCATGGGTGGTCGTCTGTCTTGTAACTGTATGAGGGCGCGCAACGCAAGGTACTTCGGGTACTTCTCTTTCTTACACATTGGGACATTGAACTGCGGTACTTTGGTTATCTAGTGCCTTTAATGTGAAATATTTGAAATTTGGCAGTTTAGTTGCACTGGTTTTGATGATTTAAGGCTGATTTTCCGGTGTAATTATTGCAGTTAAGTGTAATTTTCACGGAGACATTTTAAAAAACGTTATTCACGTTTTCATAGGACCATTGTTTACTGTTTAATTTTTTTTGTAAAAAAATTAAATGTACATACAGGGTGTTATTGAAAGGTACGTACAACAAAATGGACAGTTCTTCGCGAAGTGTAAGAAGTCGGAAAAACTTATTTTGTGTTATCATAATTATAAGGGGAAAATTAACCCTTATCCAACCTTTTTAGACGCTACTGAAGGATAAATAGGTAAAATTAATTTATTTTAGTAAATCCTAGCAACTGTAATAATAAAACTTTTGTCAAGACTAAAGGTTGCTATAGAAACGAAAAATGATCTTTTTATCAGAGGCGTACAACGAATTTGGACATAAATTTTAATAATTTTTATCTTTAAAAGGAGAACACTTTTACCTGAAATTTTTTTAGCTTTTAGCACCTATACTTCGAAACCAATTGCCGATTTTATTTTGTACGTACCTTTCAATAACAGGCTGTATACTAGCGTTTTCTAATAATGTTAAATTTTACAACCATTTACAGCCATCATGAAGAAGAAATTAATGAAACGTAAAATCGTAATCAGAGAAGCGGGCCACATCTAAATTTCAACACGGCATCTCTCTTATAGGGCGCTTAATTAATTATTTATTATAATAGACTGTGTGGTTTCTAAGATCAACTAGTTACAAAATGTTATTGTTATTACACTATTTTTAAGTCTTTTCCAAAAATTCATTTGCACAAAGTGTAGTAAATTGTGTACACGAATCAATTTTAAACTGAAGCGTTTGTGATCCTTTTTAAATTGGGTGGCGACATCTAGAAATATTTTGGACAGCGACCACCGATGACGGCTTAAAATTCGGGTCAGAAAGATCAAAGGCGCCGACACGAGTTGTCCCTACTGGTTGATGTCTATACTGCGCCCCAATCGCGTGCATAGGTAACTCACATAACAGCATCAATACAGTGAGTAAATCTACCACTCAATAGAGCGTGACGAAAAAAATTTGTAAAAATCTCATAGTAAGCATTTAGATAATTTACAACGTTGCCAGATGAGCCTAACACAACTCTGCCGTTATTTCTAGTCAGTTAGATTTTATTTCGTTTAAAAGTTTCAGATAAATAAATGGGGTTATTATAATGAATAAATAATACAAATAAATTATTACTTGTTATTTTAAATACTTGTTAGTGCTAATGAAAACGTAAATAGTAAAGAACGTTATTATAAATACGGTCCGGTAACTGAAATTTTACAGTATGGGTGAGATGTTTCAGAACGAGGCGCCCGTAGGGAGCCGAGCCTTTAATTTCGAAACAAGTACTGCGAAAAGAGTTAACGGACGTATGTCGTTATAAATTTTATTTCATACTATCAACATATATTTTTATTCGATAAAATAATTACTATTTTGAGAAAAAATTCAAATCGAGTTACTTTTTCTGGACTACGACTCGGCCAATCCAGGACATTTATTATTGTTGTTGCGATTTACTGGTGTTAAAATCGGAGTGGGTAAAACTCAACAATTTATTTCTTAGTAAAACACTAACTACACAGCGGAAATGTAGCAGCGAATAATTCTGTCTCAACTGGACTTATACTCATTAATTGACTAGCCTGCTTCGAACGGTACTCCCTATTAAACTACCATAGAGTCGGCATCGCTGCTTTCGACGTTGTTCTGGAGTTCATCATCAAGTCTTCCCGAGACTTCCGGCGAACCGCTTCCAGGTTTTTCTTTTATTTGAGCGTCGCCGTCACCAACGATTAGTCACCGGTCATCGTCGTACATACTAGATCTACATCGTCAACGTTGTCACTGTTGTACTTCATGAGGCGGTCTAAATGAACAATTTTTATTTTCGTCTGCGGTCCCCATTGAATCCTGTAAACGAACTTACATTCTTCGTAGGTTATAAATCTTGTGGCGCACCATTTCGTCAACGGTCAACAGCTACTCCTTCAAGTTATCGACACAATATGTGGCCTCTTTTGGTAGGTAAACCAATGTAAACGAAGCTCTCTCCCGAGAACTATGCACGCCGGTGTCTGACCAGTTGTGTCTAACTTTCAACTTTCAGGTGTTCAGCCACCACCTTCAAAAGATATTTTCCATGGTATGCTTGAATCCTTCTACCATTTTATATGACTGGAAGTGCAATGGCGTAGTTCGTGTCTTCCGTATTCCAAGTAACTCAGTGATTCTGTTGAATAGTGAATAGAAATGTGACTCGAAGTTTCTGCCTTGATCCGAATGCAATTCCATTGGGACACCATACCTGCAGTTATAATTGTCAACCAGCACGCTAGCAACTGTATGGCATAAGCTTCAGGCTATTTGCTGAAATAATCACTGACGAAATTTAACTTACAAATCTCAGGTTAATTATTAATTAGTTTGCTTACGAAAATTGATGGGAGTATTTTAAAATAATTGGTGAATGCGGTTTTTTTCAAAGTAGTAAATAATTGGTGAATGCAGTTTTTTTCAAAGTAGCAACAGGTGGATACTGTTTTAAATTATTTTTATTCTAAAATATATTACTTATAATCGAAAATAAATTTGTCAAACTTAAATTGAGGGTCAAATCTCCTTTTAATCGGTATTTTCTACACGAAGGAATGAAAGCAGATTTCAAAACTCATTTGTTTTAATGATAAAAAAACTTAATGCTGGAAAGCACCTTGACTTCTTGAAGTCAGTTATAATTACAAATTAATTTGTTAATAACATAAAGCATGTGTTCGGCTGGGAATGAAATCCGCCCGTGAGTGTATGTTACTATTTCTTCCGTTTTAAGTAAAATTTTTCGATACAATACACTGAAAAGTCCTTTTTTTTTCAATTTTATCAGAAAAATCTTAGCGCTTAAAGCAAAATTACTATATTATCCAACCAAATATAGTGAAATATAAATCAGTAAAAATACAACAATCAAAACTAAGGAGTAAAAAAAATTCATGTTATAAAACGTTTAATAGAAAATTGGTGTTAACGTGACAAGGATTCCAACCAGTCATGAAGTTTTCTAATATAAATTGTGTCTTAACCTCGAGAGAAAAGAAACCTTCTCTCGGATCCAGTATTAAAACTACTTTCATTCAAAGAACAGCAGTAGGTGCGGATGGAGATTATAATAACAATTATCGCCACTATTACTTGTGTGTTTTGCAGTCTGACATTTTCAGTTCCAGTGAAAGGTAATTGTCTGTTTTAACATTTATTACTGTGTGCCACTCTTGAAGTATTTTTATTTTTCAGATCTGTATTCAAGTTACTTAAAGCAAGAAAATGTTCCGACAATTGATTACAAATATGTTGTTAAAGAAATGTTTCCTCAACAAGAAAGTTGGTGGAAACGTGGAACACATCATTTTTATATAAATAACCAATCTGAATTTGAGATAATTGATGCATAAGTAATAATTTATTTTTTAATTTAAATGTACATACCATATTTATGTTAAATGAAACTAAAACAAAATTCTGTTTACATACAATTTTTGTAAAAACATGACACTAAACTACCTACCTTAAAAATCCCGGTATATACTTCCTTCATAATTTATAATTTATTTTAAATTGATAGGCTTCTTCAGTAGATTATGTATGCAGTATAAGTTTGATACCTACCTATATCATCCTTTCAATAAGTGTAACGTTTTGTATGAATTTTTTTTTTGAAGACTGGGAAACAGAAAAGGTTTTCATGTAGCTGTTTAAAAGTAACATTTTTGTGAAAATATATATAAAAAATATTAAGTCAGTATTAAGAATGGTATAAAAATTAATTTGATAGTTTAAATTTCATCCTTATAAATATTTTGTTTAAGAAACAATTATGCGAATAAATAAGCAACTAATAACTTAACTGTTTTTTGAATTGGGCATTGGTTGATCCAGTTATTTGTTTGAAAATTACCAGCAACAAAGTTATATTTATATAGGTACGTAAGTATGTATACATGCAATTCGTAACCAGAAAAGGTGTGAACAAAAGATTTAGACGTAAAAGTAAAAACAAACTATATTTTGGCTTGCAGCGTTACATAAGGTCACAGCTTCTAGAGGTAAATTTGATGTCAGTATCAAGTAATTATGTTTATGCTACATTGTTATAGTTTTGGAAATTTCATTCTACCCTATAAAATTTTATTGGCAATAACGAGACGGACAGTAGTACAACAGCAAGAGATATTTACAACTTAAAGTTGTACGTGCCGGTAATCCCCAGATGTTAGAAAACAGAATAATCCAGGAACGAAAATTAGCATTATTTTATGAGTACATCAACTACCTGCCAAATGTTCTCCCACAAATTCGGGTGAACTGGTGTGAGCTATAAATATTTGTACCACCGTCCGTCTCGTTATTGTCAATAAAATTTTATAGGGTAGAATGAAATTTCCAAAACTATATCAAAAACGATTTATATTTTAAAGTTTACCTAAAGTCAAAGTTCACAACAATGACTTATCATAATTTATTAAATTTTAAGTGTTGAAATAGAATGACAGGTGACCGATATGGATTTGAGGGTCGTCTTGGTTGATGCGTTCTTAAACTCTCTTTAGCTGGTTACAGTCCGGAAGATCGTGCAATCCAACTTGTCAAAAGAGAAAGTATTAAAAGATGTCACTCAATTTGGAAGTTACAGGAACCTGTAATCCCTTTTGCCACTCTACTAATATAAAGCTTGGTGTGTTTGTATTTGAATTAATATTAGTACCAAAATGTCTGAAAAGTACTGCTCTGTGTGTGCTTTTATTTGTTTAATAACATCGAATTCAAATCATTCTATTTACTCGTTGTATGTCAAATTGTGTCAAATAGTCAGACCGTGGTCAGGGAGCTTACTCTTGACTGAGTAAGTTTTCTCATTTGTGACTTTTTTCACTAAAATGACGTGATTTTAGTGAAATTTTTTAAAAGTCTACTCTTGACACAATGATTCAACTCAGCGATGAGAAAATCCACATGGAAACGCGTGACTTTAAACAGTTGATACTTTTTCGATGAGATTTCTCATTTTGGGAGGGATTTGTATGTTTTTGTGTGCTTTTTACATTCTGAAATATTTTAACGTGTGCTGTTACTATTTTGGTTCGTTTTTTTTTTTGGTGATTAAATATTTGTTAAAAAATGGATGATTTTGTTATGCAAAATATTTTAAACGAAGATGTTGAGGATTTGGAACCTGCTTCGCGATGAACTGGCAATCCCTTAACTGAATTGCCCGAAAAACAATTTATCAAATTATTTAGGGTTAATAAGAGACTGTTTAACTATAGTGTTGTTAGTTTGGTGGAACCACATATGCGATCAAAACTAAGATCGACAGATCTAGCTGTAAATACACAGGTATCTAAGTATGTCTGTCACAAAACTGCCTTCATTTAAGTATATTAGGTACTCTATAAAAAACATTTAAGAAGAATGCAGGTTCTACTTAAAATTTTTAGGTTCTTGCAGCTTTGCGTTTTTATGCTGGTCGTGGTCAGACATTCAGCCGACATTACAGATTCCTTTTTCTCTCGATGTAAGCGCCACCATATGTCAGTTTTGAGGGATTGGAGAGACTTTAATAGCTAATCAAAGAAGACGACGGATTTGAATAATCACTTGAAATGGGTAGAATACATAACAAGCAAAGATATTTGTAGAAGGCTTTGCATTTTAAGTGAGAGTGGTCGTAATCTAAATTCTTATGCCACTGTCGTGCCCAGTTGTTTATTAGCAGCGCCAAGCTGCAATACAAATAAAAATTATTTATTTCATGTTGGCCCATTTCCCTGGAAGTGGGAAGAAGTAATACCTACAAAACTTTCAACATTTCTATAATTTTATTTAGGCATAAAAATTGTAATACAAGTGTGTAATAGGTAGCATATCTAATTAAATATTTCGAGGCTGGTATGTTATGTATGGGAAGGTACACAATTTATCATTTTAATTTATAAATGTTCAATATTGTACAGTGTGAGCTGTGTTACATGTTGACGGCTTGGTGGTAGATATGGGAGATAGATCGCCGTAGGCTGACGGTCCAACAGTGTAAGCTTGTGCAATAAACCTAGTGGTGTTTACGCGTATGTATATATTTACCCCACTAAATCTTTTAATGCTTACAGTATTATGAATCAATGAAAAATAATGCAGACATCTAAAATTCGCCCACTCTCAATAACACCTTAAACCATGGAGGTAGAATGAAAGGAGGGAAGAGTTTGAAAAGGCGCCTAGTGCTGTGCTTTCAATTGGGGTCTTAATAGTACAGTCAAATAAGACGAAATTTTGTCTAAATCTCGGAATGAGAGATAAAAAGCTAAAAATTTGCATACACCTTTAATTTGATGTTCTAAAGACGGGCTGAAAAGTCTCATAGGATATTATGTTCGTCGTGCAGTTCGTCTGGCTCTGTTCTTTTCCCTGATGAGGTTCGCGATACGCTGTGGTATCGCGGGCCGTTTGAATGGCCACACAGGGCGTCGAACTGAGATCGCGTCGATGGAGACCCGGATACGATTCTCGTAGTCCAGGGTTGCTCTTTCGACTTGCTTGCTGTCTTGGAAATTCGTTACGAATTCACCAAAGTTGTCCTTGATGTGTTCGGCGAATTTCGTCCAGTCCGTTGTCGTGATTATGTTGGCCGCGGGATCGTTGGGTTCGTTCCCGATGCGCATAATCACCGGAAGGTGGTCGGAGTGGAGCTCGTCGACGAGGGTGACGTCCACTTCGTGTCGGAGATTTTTGACAAGTGCAATGTCCAGGACATCACCTGGTGCATCTGGTCGGACTCGGTGGTAGAACGTCGGTTCTTCGGTGGAGATGACGTCTACTTCCGCGGTGTTTTGGAGGAAGGTTAGGAGTCGCCTTCCGTTCACGTTGTTCTGGCGGCTGTGCCAGTCGGAGTGCTTGGCGTTGAAGTCGCCAGCTGCGATGGTGGCCCCGTCGCCTGCGACGAGGCCAGCGATGTCTTCAACCTGGAGCGTGTTGGAGTTGTTGTAACAAGCAATTGGGCGCAGAGGGCCTCTCGCAGTCACAACGGTTACCGCCGTCGCTTCCAGTTGTCGGAGGTCGGGGACGTAAGAAGAAGAGTGTTTAATCTCTTTCCTTACGTAGATGGCCGTTCCTCGTCCGTTTCCGTCCCAGCGTTCCGTTCGGTGCAGGGTGTAATCCGGCATCTTGGGATCTCGGAATTCCACAGGAGGTTCGTCTCGCTGACGAGGATGACATCGAGCTGGTGGTCTTCCATGAACTCTTCGAGTTCAAAACGCCCGCTCCGGAGTGAATTGGCATTCCAGAAGGCGATCTGCAAGGATTTAACAATTAGTGATGTACTACTCATTTAATTTTTAAAAAGGAGGGGAAGGAATGCCGCCATTTTCTCCGCCATGGATTGTGAGTCCTTGGCGGCAGCGATGGCGGTCATCAGCTGGGTTTTCTGGAGCTGGAGGTCGGCCTGCTGGCGACCTGTGAGGATGACCTTCTTGGGGACGGGAGCGGCTTTGGGTTTGGCGGTGGCCTTGGGGGGGGGGGCACCGCGTTTGGGGGCGGTGTTCTTCGTCGATGCGGAAGGCTTCTTGGAAGTCTTCTGTTGCTGTGGTTTGGGGAACCTTGGGCCCCCTTGTAGCTGGCCGGGTGTGGCCTGCTACAATTAGCGCATTTGGCAGGCTGCCTGCGCTGCTTCTCGCAGTCGCTGGTCTGATGAGCAGCGCCGCATTTGACGCTGGGAGTGGTGGAATCGCTGGCAGCGGTGGCATTGGGCAGCGTCCTTTGGTTTGTGGGGTTTCTCCACCTTGACGGAGAGGCCGCAGAGTGTCTTCACCTCGAAGATATCGGCCTTCTTGCACATAGGCATCTCGGTGAGGACGAGGGGCATCGGGCGGTCATGGCGGTTCATCCGACTGACCTGGATTGGTTGGAAACTCAGAGACTCCAGGTCTTCCAGCATCTCCTGGCTGGCAACGCCTATGGCGATGTCACGGATGACAACGCGGAGGGTTTTTTCCATCCATCCATCCATCATTTTTTCCATCTCCGGCCGTCACGCAGGATTACTGGTGGAATCCTGCTCTTCGGGGTGGTTGGGGGCCGTGGTGTCACCACGGGGATGTCCGTCTCCATGGCCTGGGTCTGGGGCTCGGGCCGGGGCTCGGCGAGGGTCTCGTCGACGACGGGGGTGGTCTCGGCCGTGGTGGCGGGCGTGGCCCTGGCGGTGTCCCGGTGTGGGCATGCCTGGGGCTGGGGCTTCCTTGGCTGCTTGTCAGCAGGGAGGGCTGGCTGGGGCTTTTTGGTCTTCTGCTGCTTCTTGCCAGCAGCAGATGAGGCTGGCTTCTCCGTGGCCGGGGGCTTCGCTTGTGGCTTGGGCATCACGGTCGAGGGCGGAGATGCTATCTTCGGCTATTTAAGGTTTTTAATAGCTTCACTCTTCCCGCTCCGCAGTGGGATAATTTGTATGAACGAATACGTTCCGCCATTTTTCAAAACACAATGTAGGGTGCCACTTTTCTAAACGATCACAGTTTGAGGCCAAATTTCAAAATTTTGCGGGTTTTTAAAATTTTGTTCACATGTCAAATGTTTGAAAGTTTGTGTTACCACAAACATATACCTACATATAAACCGTCTCCCCTGTTCGCATCGTGTTCGTATCTTGTTCGTACACATTCGTATACGCAGTTGAGCAAGTCAGTAGCGTAATTACATTTTACTGCGTGTACTTATTAGTTTTAATATCAGTGAGTTACATTTGTCAGTGTTCTAGATTTTAATGAATGTTTACAATGACTAGATGCGCGAACATGTGGAAAGTGTACTAATCACACATTTTGTTTAAAAACCAATAGCGATCGGACAGAGGTTCAAACTTGTTATAGCCGCGCAAGCTCCTCTATTTCTTCCACATTTGAATGAAGGCAAGTTAATTATGCGCAGCCTGTTGAGGTCTCGTTCTGCTATGTGATAAATTGATAATATATGATGCGCCTTTCCACTGATTCTGGTAGTTCTGTATCTTGTTGAATAGTAGGCGTCCAAGCACCATTAGCAAATTCCAGAATAGGAGAATAGCTATAATGCTGTGATCTGTATTTGGAAATGTTGTATCTTTCAGAAACGCGAGTGTATTTGGTTTCTTGGCAATCCGAGCTACATGCGCGGACCATGACGAATCACGTGGCATAAGAACTCCTAGATCTAAATAACTAGCTGCTTTACCAATTACATCTTGATTAATTTGGCGTAAGTGTCAAATCGATCTAAGTTTAGGCCTAAGTATTCATCTTGGTTAAGAGGGAGTATAACCACGCGTGGCACCAGATAGCACTATTTATTAGGTCTTTTTGTAACGTCTCATAATTGGAACTGATGCTAAAGTTTCATGTCATCAGCGTATAGAGCTAAAGAGGGTTACAAACAATACTTCCAGAAGATAGAAAATAAAAAGAATAGGTCCCAAAACTGACCCCTGTGGAACGTCACTTTCAACATCTACAAATATAAACCCCGCAACCTCGTTTACCACATCGAACATTCCTTAAGATCGTATAATTATCAAGTGAAATTATTTGAACATGAATCGAACTAGAATCACGTTTCTTATAATAAAATAAAATATGGATCTTCAGATTGAACAAACTCATCGAACTTAGAAGCGAAGGACATCAATATAGAAAAAGATGAGTGTGCGAATATGAGCTACTGAATTTAACGTATTGTTAGGGAGTAAAGATTATTAAGTCCAAAAAGAGGGTGTGGGCCTTTTTAAGTTTTCTTTGTACTCTGAGGCAGAGATTTTTTAGACTTTTGTTAGTTAGTGTGGTATAGAATTCAAACATCATCTAGGATAAGTAAGTAATTTCACATCATTTGTGAATTATCTAGTATATTCCAGTGAGTCAGAAGCTTTGGATATATGTATTGTGCATAAGCGGGGTCAAATCTTTAAATTTCATAAAATCAACATTGTTTTATGCCTTAAAATTCCTTTTGGTTGTAAAATTTACGTTTTAATGAGATCCACATATTGTTTATTTTGTGATGATGATAAAGATGAATTTCGGTAGTTCTTGTAGTTACTGGACCTTCCTGTTCAAATCAAGGATTTGAACTGAAAAAACAAATCAGTAGTAATAGGGTATGGTAGGTAGGAAGAAATAACACACATTTTAATGTAAGTAGTATTTTTTTTTTTAAGAAAAAACAAGCTTATAGTGTAGTTGCACATACCAGCGAATTTGTAACAACTCGAATGATGTTTTAAACTTAGTCTCTATTTGAGCCATTATTAGCCAAGAATTATTTACATAACAAAGTGGCTTTTTACTTGCCAGCGTAGTAAAATTCAATTTGGTAACTTTCCTAGATAACTAAATATCAAACTAATTATGCGGCCATCTATTTACCAAATTGAATTATTGTCTCTTTACTAAACTTATGAGATTTTCAAAAATCTTAAAAAGAAATTACTCGGATGAAAGGTCAGTTGTTAAATTTTTAGATATTATTGTAATGTTTCTACATCTGTAAACGTCTTTTTACCCAATCTAAAACAGGGAGTTAAGCAATTTTTTATGAAAACTGAATATTTGAAATAAAATTTCCAGTAATGTTGTTAATATATACTTTCGGGAGTTGCGAAGAACTTAAAACAAATTGTAGTTCTAAGAAAATGAAATATTTGAGCAATGTTTCCTAACACGATACAGTTAAAATAAAATGGAGTTAATTTTAATTAACTGTAATAGTAAAACACTGAAGGTATTGATTGGAAATGTTATTTCTGTCTTGTTTTTCGTAAAATGTTTGCATAGTGTACATACTATTTGAATTTTTTTAATTTTTTGGGTAATAATTTTAAGATACAGTTATGATGTCTTAAGTCTGAAGAACATCTTCTATGAATGGTTAAATCATTAATAAGTAACTATATCGCATTTATTTAGAAAATTTTTGAAAATCTCTTTTCAGTGACAATGGTTGATAACTCAATTTCTTATTTATATCTATACATTACAATTAGGTATAAAATAATTAACAAAGGTGAAATTGAGTATAACGTGTTAAATAACAGTAGTTGCCCTATGTAACACATGCAGCATGATTTAAAATAATCACAGAAACACACTTTTTGCATTGTTTAATAAACTAAAGTGTAAGTATAAAATGTATATAATGTATAAACTTGTGAAAGGCTGTCATGTTTAAAAATATCATTGTTAATTTAAATTTTAACATAATATCTTCATCTGTACTGTAACTATCTATCATTAGGTTACATTGACATTACGGCAACCAAAAGTTACGAGAAAAGTAATTTTGCATCGACTTTATCTAAATTTGGTACACAATTTATTCCAGTGTGACATGGGTCTAAAACACATAACAGAGTAAAGTAAAAAAAATGTTGTAAATTCTTTTGTATACCTAATTGTAATGCTATTATACAAAAGTATTTTAAGTAATAAGGAGTAGACTAAAACACAATACATTGTATTGCGTTCAATATGTCATTTTAAAGAGTACGTAGATATAGATAACAGTTTGTCAAATATGAGACAAATATGTATATATATAGATAGAAATTCAACAATAGAATATTATATCTAAAAATAAATATCGTAGATAAACAATAACAGACTTGTGAGCATTTAATATACAACGATAAAATATTCATTAACATAACAAATTTCGAAAGTAAAGTATTTTGCGTGAAATACTGTCCATCGTCCCTATAAATATAGGTATAGGTACTAAACCATTGCTTTTCAAAAATATTGCCACCGCATCAGTGTAAATTTCATTACAAAGTACATATTTTCAAATTACATAATAAATGTGTTTGCACTATAATCCGTTGATTATTTTCAATGATAACTTATTTATGGATAAAATTGCAGCAAATAAAGTTAATTAACTTTTAAAACTGGAAAAAATACTCGCTTGACAACAATGAAGTTTGATGTTCACGGGAACTATGACGATTAAAATGCCTTATAAAATTATATGCGATTTTCTTTTCTGTTTTTAAATATTTGTGAAAAAATGCCCGACTTGTATCTAGCATGTTGTTTTTATTATTGAAGTAAAGGGTGTTTCAAAATGATTTTCATCTAGTTAGCTTTGAAATCGCTTCAGCTCCTATCTTTCCCTTGATGAAAATCTGCTGCAGCCATAGGCGACTAGATGAAAATCATTTTGAAACACGTTGTATAAACATGATTATATCGTTAATAAATTATTAGTTAATAATATGCAAATATTTACTTAATTTTCTGTTAAAACTTATTTGTAATGGCATCTACTGAATAAATAAATCGACAAAGAAACTTTATAAATTAACAGGGCAATTTGTTGCAGGCGACTTTCGTTAGATCATGCTGAAAAAACTCGCGTAATTATTTTTGAATAGATATGTGGCAGAAAACACGAAAATAAAAGTAATAAATAGCAGTAAATAAAATGAAACATGTGTCCTATAATCTTGGACAATTTTAATTTTGAATTTAAAAGCTATGAACTAATTACGCAATTAGGTAGCTCTGTTACATAAATTTTATATGAAACTTGTTCGTATGTACTTTATGTTCATAAGCTCACGTTTTTTAATTCAAACCAAGGTAATTAAGTGTACACTAGTAGGACAAATGCCACAATTTAAATCGACTGTCTAATTTAAGTTCGTAGCACTTTCAATCAAAGAATAACATTAAAAAAATATTGCTTTTAGTAATTTAACGTATACGTATTTCAGTTTGCCAAGTAGATGTTCAGAGGTACAAATATGAACCAAATTTCATTTTAGTTTCAATTAGGTGCCAGCTAAAATAAGGAAATGCTTATTAAAATAAAAAAGTGTAGTAGAGACTTATGGATTTTGTCATTATTAGCAAATTTCTTTTAATGAAGTTTACATCACGGAGGTTCTATTACACAAAGCAGTTATAAAACTCAGATATACAAACGCCCCAGAAAATCTTGGACCTCATTTTTCTGTCATTTTAAAAATTTTGATGTAGTCTATATACTATACTTTATTGTCACTTTGACGTTTAAAATTTGAAAAATTTATAACGTCGCATCCAGCGTTAGCATGCACGCGTTGTCAAAAACGACAAAACTAAAACATTAGGTTACACATTTTGTGACAGTGGAATGACATTGCCGTCAAAAATTTTCTGGCGGCGATTGTATGATATGATAAATTAGACTTTTATAGGAACATCATTCAACAAGCTTTCATTACTTATGTTGCTTAAATAAAAAAAATCGTGTGGCATTTTCCTCTGTTGTTATCAGATAATAATAGTTATATTTTATATTTCACAGTAGAAATCTTGGCTTGTACTTGAAATGAAAAGAAAACAAACTAC